AGAGAGAGAGAGAGAGAGAGAGAGAGAGAGAGAGAGAGAGAGAGAGAGAGAGAGAGAGAGAGAGAGGTGGTGAGGGATAGAGGATACAAGTGTGAAACACAAACAAACAAAGGGAAGAAGGATGAGAACGTGCAGATGTGTTCACATGTAGCGTTTGGATGGAGCTAGAGGAGCTTTCCAGAAGCAGTGTGCGGGCGGTCCTTAGCCAAAGCAGCTACTTGTGCCCTCCTCAATGGAGAGGCTTCTTTTGACAACTGATCACCTTTAGCAGATGCTGGTCTTCCAACCCGGCTTACAGTCTTGCTTCGCGGGGGTGAAGCAGTTGGCCTAGTGCCCCGCTCCGTCAATGGTGGAGCACCAGATGATAAATCTTGATGTGCAGTTGGAGCTCCTGTATCGTGCTGTTGTTTAGGGGTCCCTTTGCCACCATGGCTGGTGAACCATCTGCTGGCCCGACTAATGGGTCCTTCCGTCTCAAGTGCATTTGTACCCTTGACTGGTGCATCATGGTCAGTACGTTGCAATCTACTGGCAGACCTTCGTCTTTGGCTTGGTGTCAGAGTGTCCATGGTTTGTTCCAGTTCTTTCATACCCACAGACTTCAACTTCCCAGAATTGGACCCCGTCAGCAAGCTTCTGCCGGAATTAGATCTGCTCAAGGATGCGCCTATCCTTGAGATCATCCTCGAAGGTCCCTTATCAGCCTGCTGTAACTCCTGGGCGAACACATCTTTGACCGATTTATGTTTCATCCTTGCTACAGGGCTAGCATAGGAAGTGGTACTTACTCGCTCGCCTCCTCCAACTCCTCCTGTGCTTTCCAGAGAGCCCTTGACAGCGGCTGCACCAGCCGGGTCGACGTCCGTCGTCACGGCATTTAACCCCAGGTCATTCTCAAAGATCAATCCATTCCCAGATAGACTGCCAACCCCCCTGAAGACTGACTGGCTTCTCGCTGTCCGTAAAGCACTTTCTCTGGCACTTCCATGTGTCTCATGCCCTTGACCGGCTATAGTGTTGATGACGCCCCAGTTTGCAAACATCTTTTTGAGCTTAGCATTCATTTTTGGAGAGAGCATCGTGCCCTTATGGCTGAACCACCTCAGTTGTTCATCTCTGCTGGCGAGCTCCCTCTTCAGCTCCCTCACCATGCCGGTCAAGTGTTGCAGCTTTTTAAACAACTTTGAATCCTCTTTCTCTCCTCCTCTATCCTTCTCCTTCTGCCAACCATGGGGCTTCTCACTACGCCGTGGTGTAGCACCATCACGTTGCTCCTTGTCTCCCTGCCCAGACATTCCAAAAGACAATACCACTCGCCCTGGTGAGCCTGTGCGTGTCTTCTGATCCTTGTTTCTTCCTCGCTTGTCATCAGACTTTACTTCTCTTGGGGGTTCCATATTACTTCCATCTGCCTCTGCCTCTGCCTCTCCTGCAGGCAGGGCTCTGGCCTTTGACCTGCTGCTGTCAGCGGACATCTGTGTCTGCCTAGAAGTCGGAGCGGAAAACTTTTCCAGCACTGCTGAGGGTTTTCCTTCATGAGCTGCTTGAGTTAAAAAGTCGCTCTCATTCTTAATCTTTGAACCGACCTCTGGTTTCATACCGCTGGGTGTTGGGATAGAGCTGCTGGTGTCCTGGACATCAAAGTCTTTACGGCTGGCATCAGCAGGTGCGTCCGCTCTGCTTCGGCTTCTGTCCCTGCCTCCTTCACTGTCCTCCTTTTCAAGTACCTCATCCCCTCGCACATCGGCCATACTTCTCTTCAAGTTAGCAGGAAGAAGAGCAGAGAGATGCTCGTTGGCAAGGGACATTCTGGAAGATGCCATCTCTTTCCGTTGCTTAGCGGATAGCTTGGACTCCTTGGAGCTATCAATTGCATACAACTGAAACGTGAGTTGCTTGACTTCTCTGCGGAGTCGCCTGTTCTCCATAAGCAGGAAGATGTTGTCAGCCAAAGCTTTGTCCCATCTAACTTCATCAATCTTTTTGTTGGCTAGTTGCATTTCGCTGTCCGCTTGCAACTTGTTTTGTATGTACATGTGTTGCCTCTTGACTTCTTCAAAGGTATCCTTGATGTCAGAACCGGCGGCAAGCTTCAGACGACCAAGACAGGCCTCTGCGTACATCTTTTGCAGCTTTTTTCCCTTCTCCCTTTCGTCCTCAATCGAGAGGGCGATGGAAAGTTGTCGGCACGTTTGGTCGATAACACCCTTTCGTTTTGCAGCAATCTCGTTGGCTGCCTGCAGTTCGTCACTGGCAGACTTCACCCGGTCCAGGTTCTCTTTATTGGCCTGTTTGAGGGAGGAGACGGTAGAGAGGTACTTGCGCATGAGTAGTTGAGTATCCTCGGCTTCGAGAGCAAGCCTCTGGACCTTTTCTCGCTGTGGTGCCTCCTTCTCTCTCATCATGCGAAGGTTCTCGTTGAGCACGTACTTCTGGACCTCAAGTTCTTCGGTAGAGCTTCGCAGTCTTTGGAGGGCCTTATCCTTCTTCTTGATGGTGCTTTCAAAGTGTGTGAGCACATCCTCATACTGGGAAATCCTGGAGATCAGCAGGTCACGCTGCTCCAGTGCCTTCTTGGCCAGGTCCTCCATCTCTCGTCTCTCTCCATGAGCCTGTTCTTGTCGCTGAAGTGCCTCCTGCCTGCTCGTGTCCATCAGGGCTAATCTGACCTTGAGGTCCTCGTTCAGCCCCGTGGCGAAGGCAATGGCTCGTCGTGCGTTTTGGTCCATCAAATCCAACTGCCTCTCCTGGTCCTTCTCCTGCTGGTTGGACGTCTCGTGATTGTACCTCTCCAAAATTTTTAACTTCTCTGTCAACGACACAATCTCCTTTTGCAGCTGCTCTATCTGTACACTGTACACGCTCATCAATGCGTGCATCTCTTCTTCATGCTCGTTCTTTGCCTGTTCCAGCTCTGCCTGATTCCTCTCATTCTCCTCCTTCATCTGCATCGCCGCTTGACTCATATGTTCCTCCTCCCTGCTGACAGCATCAGCTATCATCCTTTCCGCCTCACTCATCTGCTTTTTGAACACCTGGTCCATCATGCCCATTTTCTTCTCATACTTGTCCGTTATGCTCTTCATCTCCGACCTCATCTTTTCCTGGTCTTCTCTAGTCTCCCCCTGCACCTTCACCACGTCGTCCTTCATTCTTCTCAGTACTTCTTGCCACCCATTCTCACTCCTCCGGAATTCAAAATCGTGCTGTATCTGCATGTTCTCAATCTGAGCTTGTAGGTCGTGGACGGTGTCCACCAGCTCTCTATAGTCCGAGTATAGCAAGAGGAATGCCTCAGGGGGAAGTGCAGTGCGGTCAACCAATGAGCTGCCCCCTTCTGTAATGTCTGAGCCGATGGATACCACTGAAGGCCGCGGTTGGGAAGCCGTGTCAAAGGCTGGGAAACCACAGACAAAGACCGCCCCATCCTCGCCCGCACTCACGAGCAGTGAGCCCGTGTTATCACTGTGAACTGTGATCAGCTGAATCTGGGTCACCGCTGAGGCATGCAATCTCACCTCTGCAAAAGGCCGGGATTTGTCCTCCCTTTGAGACTCATCCATCTTTGGGACCTTGTCCCCGAACCATGCATACGCGCGAATGGTACCTGTGCTGGTTCCCACGAAGAGCACCTTGTCGTCGAACCCTAATGCCATGCAGGTGACGGTGCAATCCGGCACGGAAGTTTCGTGCTCGACCACCCCCTTCACAATGGCCTTGATCTTGCACATCTTGGAAGGAAGCTCCAAACCGGCCACCACAATGATGGTTGCTGTTCTGTTGTACGTGATGCAAGAGTAGCTCGACATCTTCTTCACGTGGTCCACGTCCTTGTCCCGAGAATAGCTATTTACGTCCCACACATAGACCGCCCCATCCTGGCCACAGGACACCAATGTGGCATCGTTAGGGCCCCAGTGGATACCCTTGATGTTGGCGGTATGACCTCGAAGAATGCCAGCTGAGGTTGACGAGGTGCTGTAGGTTTGAAAGAGTGAGATGAGGTTCTGCTTGCACACAGCGAACAGCTGCCCCCCCTTGCTGAAAGACACCAGCTTGCTAGCGGGAATGAGAATTTCCCGGATGCACCGGAGGTCATCACCGAGGATGTAGAAGAGTCTGACTTTGTCTACCATACCTGCAACAAGGTAGAAACCGGAAGGATGGAGGCTGACACTGAAACACACTTCATGGAATGTCTTGCGCAGCATGCACTTCTTACTCTCATAATTCCATAGCCGGATGGACTGGTCGGCTCCGAAGCTGACGAAACCTCGCTTCTGCACGCAGCTGTCCAATCCCAAGACCGGCCCTGTGTGAAAACCAGACCTCAGCAGCTCAAACACCCCTTCCTCTTCCCCTTCAAGCTCTAGAATTCCAATGTTGGCCGACTCCAGACCGCAAACGACATGCGTATCCGGGAAGAAGAGGGAGACACACGTTATCCGGTCTACTGTGGGCTTGAAGGTCTTCTTGATGGCATAGGGTGCACCCATTAGGCCACCACCGAATGCGCCCCCTCCTGCTCCCGCCGAGCCCCTGGAGATGGGGTAGGAAGCCGAAGAAGATTCACCCCCATGCTTCTGGACCCTATTCTCTCCTGCCGCTGTCAGTTCGAACACGGTGAACATTCCCACCTCATCCACCACAAAGAAACCTTGGCGTAATGCCACTATCTGCTCGATCGCCAGGGGTTCGGGTAGAGTTATGGTGCCAAGGAACACCTCGTCCCCGTAAAGGAGCACCTCCCCTTTGTCCGTGGCCACTGCTACCAGGTCTGCCATCAGCCATGCATGTCGAGTGAAGGAAGAGTCCGGCTTTCGACCAGTCGATACCACAGACTGCTTCACAGGGACGGGATCGCCGGAGATAGAGAAAAACCGGATGTTCTTTCGTCCATTTGCGACCAAGCAAGTGGCCTCCCAAGGGCTGGCACTTAGCATCTGCACAGAGGGGTCTTCCCTCTGGTTGCCATCCCCCCAAGTGAAGGGAGAGGACACCCGGGCCCCTGTCAAACGCCAACTAACAAGCCCCCAAGACCCGAGCTCATTGACGAAAACGATAACCACAGAGGCCTCGTCCTTAGGAACACAAACATCGACAACATCCTTGACCCTCCGGCCCTCCTTGGAGAGGGCAAGGGTTCTGTGGGATTTCCACAGAGATGTATGATGCCATGTGTATATCACGACAAACCATGCATTGTCATGGACAGACTGCTCCACCAGGACCAGAAGCCGACGGCTCATGCTGGAACACAGAATCTTCACCCGAGAGTCACTCACTGAATGGAGGAACCTCATGTCGAAGGTGCGGAGGTTGGCTATGGCGACGAAGCTCCCACAGACGTAAGCTATGGCATTGTTCTCCACGGTCACAACCGAGCTTGTTTCTCTGCTGTCCATTCCGAAGGCGAAGCGAGGGATCGGCATGCTCAGACTGGCGGCCGAGCTCAACCGACCACCACCACCACCACCCATCCTCCTTCCGGAGGCAGCAGCGGCGGCAGCACCAGAAAAAGACCCAGCGGAACCCATAGTCCCCTTCCTGCTGCTGCTCCTTTTTCTGGCAGATTGGGACCGGGATCGGGAGAAGCCCTCTCCACCAGATGGTCGGCTCTGATCCCGATCCCTGTCCGAGTCTATAGCCAGAGTGACAGCACTCTTCTTCACCATGGTACTCCTCATCTTCCGCGCACTCTCGCTGCTGACGCTATTGCTGTGCCCGGTGGCAGCAGACACCTGCAGTGGCTGAGGCTTGTTGTTGTGCTCCATGACAGGTCGAGTTTTTTTGGTGTCATCATCAGAATCATAAGCATGACCAGCATCACCACCCCCCAGCGACTGACGATGATGGTTGCTGAAGGACGCCTTCCTCTTCTGTGACCGCCAAGTGACTTCCTCACCAGCGGTACCACCACTACCGGTCACAGGAGAACCTGCGATGACCGCAGGACGCAGAAGGTCGGAGCTTCTTGAGCTTCCTCGTATTCGCAGGGGAGCAGCTTTGATGATCGAGACCCCAGCTCGAGGGGCCTGGATACCAGAGATAGGGGATGCAGCTTCCATACGCGAACCTGCAGGTATGGTTTCAGGTCCTGAAGCAGATGAAGCGGACGCCTCTGAATCCTCGTCGAGGTCCTCCGGAGCAACAGAGGTGAGGGCATTGTAAGATTCATCAGGAGGAGGAGGAGGAAGAGGAGGAGGAGGAGGAGGAGGAGGAGGAGGAGGAAGAGAGCTAGCTGAAAAGCCGCAGGAAGCAGAGGGCTGGCTGGTGGGACGGGAACTGAGTTGTCCAGCGACTGTAGCCGCCATGGCTGATTCTCTTTGTGTCTGAGAGGAGGAGGGGGTGGATGGGGAGGCAGGGGAAGACTGGTCGGCTAGAGGTCGAGGGGTTTGGGATCCCGACAGACGTGTCACGGAGGGGATAAAGTTGCTTCCTCGATTGCTGTGCATTGCACCTTTGGGCATTTGCCTGGACCTGCCAAGCATCGACAACAGTGAGTTAGTATTCACACTTTTCTCTTGCTGGCTATCCTCCTCCTCGTCCTCGAAACGAGCAGCACTGTTCTCTGAAGTCCGAGCAGAAGCCATTGTGGGTTGACTTTTATCAAAAGCTTATGGTGCAATGGACACTCGCTTCGCTGAACGTCCTCTTACAGGAGTGTGCCCCCTTGCGCCCCAAAGGATGGGGTCGGAGAAGGGGGGCTGCATCCCCCCACTCATTGAAGCCATCTTCAACTGCCCGGGATCGCACAGCAAAAAGAACTCCAACACCCTTCCTTCCTTCCTGTGTTTGTTTGTTTGTGCACAGATGCACACAGTAAGCGGCACAGAAAAAATAGCTACCGTGCTTGGCCACCATAAATGGTCACCCAAAATTACGACTGAAAAAATGAGCACTCAAAGTCATTATCTTAATTTATCTAGAGAAATCGACACAATTTACAAAATGGAATTTGAAGATCATCAACACCAAATGCCAGTATAGAAACTCGAAGCGGAGGTAAAGCAAGCATTTAAAATGAAAAGCTTGGAACAGAGCATCATCACCATCACAGGACCGTATGGATTTAGAATACACGAAGTATTCAAGCATATTATCCCGTCCCTAAGAGTCACAACTGGAATTCGCGTGTTGTGCCGAGTTGATAGCAGACTTCCATGCCGGAGGGTTTTGGCATTCCCTTAGGCCTTTCACCACCCACCTTGGTAGCTCGTTAGAGAGACTCATGCCCTGCACCATAATAGAAGACGTATTAGCACGGTTATCAACCAAAAAATGTACCTTTGGTTAGTACATGACAAGCTGTTTCAGCAATATGTGAATAGAAAAACATTCACTTCTTTTCCGAGAGTAAGGGCGGGCAAGTCACATCAGTGCGCGCGCGCGCGCGCGCGCGCAAGAGAGAGAGAGAGAGAGAGAGAGAGAGAGAGAGTACGCGCGCAAGAGAGAGAATACGCGAAGAAGAAATCAGTATGACGATAGGGAGGCTGGGCGGGTGAAGTCGAGTGAAGAAGAAGTAAAGTGGAAACAGAAAGAAGAGAGAGAGAGAGAGAGAGAGAGAGAGAGAG